AAACCAGACAAGCTAAACAGAAATCATCTGTCCAAGGCAGTTTCCTTCCTCACGTCATGACGTCCCGAGTTCACCTTCAGGACAGCGACGTGACGCGCGTTTTAATTAGCGACACACACTTTCGAGGAAAATCCAACTTACCTCTGCCGCTAAAACTGGTTCAATCGAAAGGTCCGAGCTGTCAATTTATACAAGTTAAAGTTTTCAGGAAAGTCGTCGACCAGGAAGCATTTTGCAGCCGCTGTCTTGGATGAGTTCGTCCCCCTCCTCTCTCTCACATCTGGTCCCCAAACTGCAGGAGAACCTCCCATCCAGGCAGCCTCAGCTGGACTCTGCGCGCCCACCTCTCATTGGTTTTACTGCCTTTTCACGAGTCAAGGAGCTTCCTCCGCTGTCTGATTGAATTATCATGCGTATCTTTGAAGGTCCAGATAAAATAAACTGGCTGTAAGATTCTCCTTCAGACTGGCCGTTTCCAAGTGAGTGTGAGCAACCAGTGGCCGAGTCAGACAGGTTTCATAAGGGGGGCCAGGCTGAGACCATTCTGGGGGGTGGCACAGCGACTTGGTCATTTGTTTTTTTCAGCAAATTCTTGTTGGTTAAAGAGTCTGGTTTGTTTATGCAGGAAAGACTCTGAGTATATTAGGCTTTATATATTAACCTAAATAGATTAAACACCTGGAATGACTTCTAAAGTTGTGTTTTTATTTTGTTATTTCAGTTATTGAATAAATTCACAATATAAATACAATTGAAATTACAAAATATAAGTGCACATGAGGCAAACTTGTCAGTGTGAGGCTTATTAGACATCACGTGATGTCCATCGAGCCTTTTGTTTCTGCAGATCGTTGGTCAATATTGCATTTTTTTTTATTTTATTTTTTTTTTAATCATCCACTCTTAAACTAACAATAATAATTTTAAAAAAGCATACAGATTATTTATACATAAAAATAAGATGCATTTTTATCCTGTCTATGTACTTACGACTTTATACTTATAACACGAAATATTTGAATTGATGCAAAATCAGTGTCAACAGTTTCAGTTTTGTCAGACCTGATCGGTTATGTGGCACCTTACCGATCTGAAGGCCTGATCAATAAATCCTCCTGATGTCCCAGCTGCAGCGCTCGACAGGGTGAGTTCGCGAGGGCTCGAAATGGTACAAAAAGGAGGAATGGGACGCACTACTATGACGTTGCTTTAAACACTTCATCTTTAAAAAATGCGAATTGGGACTTCCATTCACAGTATGAGTTACTGCTCAGTTAATCCATCCTTGTTTGTCACTTTATAGTGTTTACACATTTTAGCAAACTAATATAAAACAGGAAAGCCGTGAACATCTGTAAAATCAATGCTGACATTTTAAAAGTACAAACTTCGACAAATGCGTAATAAATAACGACAACAGTGAGCAACTCGATGCTGTCACTTACGGATAAACTTCCTGATGGATTTCTTCCCAGCACCATGCACGCTGAGTTTGTGTACGTTTGGTGGGGAGCGAGACAATCACGTTAATACGGAACCGATTTCACAATGAACTATGAGCAAGTCCATCCGGAAAGTCTGCAGATATACACACTTACACTTGACCATTTGACATCCTTCTGTTAAGCTTTGCCATGTGAAGAGCAGAAGGCTGCACGGTGGAGCGGTGGTTAGCACCGTTGCCTCGCTGCAAGAAGGTTCACGTGGAAACTGCATGTTATCCCCGTGCAGCGTGGGTTCTCTCCAGGTTCTCCAGCTTCCTCCCTCACAGTCCAAAAACATGTTGAGGTGGTTGTCTGTCTCTAAGTGTAGCCCTGTGATAGACTGGTGACCTGTCCAGGTGTCCCCCGCCTTCACCCTGAGTCCGCTGAGATAGACTCCAGCCCCCCCATGACCCTAGTGAGGATTCAGCGGTGTATAGATAATGGATGGATGGATGTGAAGAACAGGCAACAGTTACTGTTTGCTCAGTCTCTATCATCCTAGCTTGTAACTCCTTCAAGGAAGTCATAGGTGTCTTGGTGGCCTCCATCAGTCGCCTCTTTCTTGCACAGCCACTCAGTTTTTATGGATGGCCCAGTCCAGGCAGTTTTCTGCATGTGTCTTATTCCTTCCATTTCTTAGTGATAGATTTGACTGTACTCCAAGGGACAGTCAGTGACTTGGAAATGTTCTTGCTTGGAGTGTTCTTGTGTCTGATTCCCGTATCTGGAAGGTCGTGACACTGGTATCTTTAACCATCGATCACTTGAGACACATTCACTGCACTCAGATGATCTTTTATTTTGCTAATTGTGTGACTTCGAGCACCAATAGGCTGCACCTGTGTCCAATTAGGTGAGTCATTTATGTATCACTTGTTTTCTTGTTTCATATTTTGAAATAATTGGCATCACTTTGTAAAAAATGTGTTTTCATTTTGATGCAAATTATTCTGGCAAATTTTTGCCAAATTAAATTGACCAAGGTTCGATGTTGAAATGCAATAAAAAGGGAAAACCTGCAAGGGGGTAAATACTTTTTCTAGGTAAAAAAAGTTATTGGGTGTAACTTCAGCTCTAGGAGTGCATACGTAGCCTTTTAACTGGCCTCACTATTGGTTGTGTGGGGTGGCCAGACTTTAGCCTCAGATCACCCTTTGGTTGTAAAAGTGTCCTGGTCAGTGCAAGGTTACTAGAAATAATGAGAGGGGTGAGGAGCGAACGCAGCAGTGAATTTATACAAATATATATCAGCTACTGCATGATACAGATAATATTTAGACAGTTTCAGAGAAAATGTAATGATATAACCTTTAAACCAAACATTAATAAAACTATCTAATGAGTTCAGCAAGAAATTGTGATAACCAGCGGTGGAAAGTAGCTACGTACAACAAACAAAGCTTTTAGGGTTGTTTTTTTGTTGAGTGGCATGTTGTAATTTTATACCTCTACTCCATTTCAGTATCTGTATCTGATAAACCACAATCAAAAACAGTTGTGAGGTGGACTCCATTAGATTTACAACATTTACGTTTTATGATAACAATTACGTAAGAATAATAAATCCTGCTTTAGGATTGAAATTTTCATCGTAAAACACTCACAGATGCATGTAGTTTTTAGGTTAACTCAGGTCCTCCTACGTCATGCATTGACAAAACAGAACACATCTCCTTTCCACATGGATCACCAATTGTTGAGTTTGTAGTATATTGTGTGCCCTGTGGTCATTTACTGCACTCTAAAAACTACATTTATGCATTGACACAAGAAAACTTTGAGTACTGTGGGCCAGGAGCTTAGCAAAGTGATATATCACATCATACGTAAAACAAAAATATTGTCTGATCAATGCAGATCTTATGAGAAACCTGTCATCTTTTACCCAGCAATCAAATGGGGTGTTAAACTTTTGGATGTAGCGACAATACTTTGACATCCCGAAAACAGCTAAGACTGTCACCTCCCAATATTATAAAACAGTCACACATACAGCAAGAAACTGAATCCCATAAATCCGGATGCTAATGTGCAACAGGAAACACAATCAAAGTGACTGGGATGTTTCTAAAATCAAACTTTGCCTTCCTCATGACCTTTTGGAGGCAAGTGAGAGAGATGAGTATGTGTCGTTCACTCCACCGCTGCGTAATCTGACTATTGACCTGAAAAAGATAAATACTGGCCATGGAAAGACTGGTTTCCTCAAGATAAACAATTGCTGATTTATGATCCTTGAGACACATTGTGTTTGGATGTTATTGCTCCAACAAATATGTTCGCTCATCTTTGCACATCCCGAGGTTACTCCTCCAGCCTTGTTAAAAGTTTGAGCAGGAGACGACATGCGCATGAAGTCAGCGCCAGGCGAGCAGCAGAGGTTGGTACTTGCACGTTGCAGCGGATGCCAGCAGAGCCGCTGAGAAGGAAGGAAAAGATACAGCGCCTGGTCTCCGTCTATCACTCCTCTCCTTCTCTCCAAACATGCATTCTGCTTCCAAACAATCTCATTTCACCATCTATCATTCATTTCTGTTTTCATCAGGTTATCTTAGAGGCAGCCTGTGAGAGGGCCTGTTGCCGCGGTAACCACTCCAGCTCCTGGACGCATCCCAGGGTTGTAAAAGTGAAGAGCAGCGTCTGATCCGTTCCAAGTCCAAGATTTAATAGGGGGCTGGGGGGTTCCAACATCTGAACTGAGCTACGACAAGAGATGGACCCACCAGACTATCCCATGAAATTTTAGAACAACTTAGTGTGTAATTTTAAAGGGGAGTGAATGAACTTTACCACGGCTTCCAAAGGAGAAAGAGGAAAAACATGAGTGGGAGAAGAGGAATATGTAGGAGAGGCAGGAGAGGGGAACGGACAAGATGAAGAGGCCGAGACAGCAACAGCAGACTGAAAGGAAACAAGACGAAGCAGCCAAAAACCATGGATGTTGTTTTATCAAGTTCATTTTGTCGCCTCGTTCTTATCCGCACTCCAAAGTACACTATTACATCATACCGCGCATGGGAAAGCAACCCAAACCAACACAGTCTCAGGGTGTCTTGCTCTGTTCTTTCTGGCTGCAAAGATATCATTAGCGGAGCATCGCTGTAAGTACAGACAATCCCGTCTTTACTTAAAGAAAAACAGCTCCACATAGTTCACACAAAGCGACAGATCATCGACCATAATGAGGTCAAGATATTAATTCCAATCTTAAGACTCACTGAAAGCAGAGTTTTGCTGCCTGTTTAGTCGGGATTGTTGACAAAACAGTAGCCTAATCCGGTGGTTATCGAAGCTGACATGATACATATTTACTTCAAAAATAGTCAATAAATTAGCTCGACATGAAACGAGACCTCAAACCCAAAGTATCATTTCAGATTTTCTTCAGTTGTCTATTTGCGAGGGATGAAAGCGAAGTCATGTCTCGGAAAAACTTTGAAGCTATTTTAAATACCATGACTGATGGAAATAAGGAGAAAATATAGAAGAAGAAAAATACAAAAAATTAAAGGCCGCTTTTTATGGCCACCACAAATATTCTTTTATTCACATGAATGTATCAGTAACAGAGACAAAACGGGGGGAAATAAACAACTTCAATGTTTCCCTGGCAGTCTACAGGCCGCTTGTACTGTCTACCACTGGCACCATCTCTTCTATTTCATGGTCTTCTACCTCCAAAATTAAAGTCCCCCAAAAATTTCAGCATGTTACAATTAGATAAATCAAACAAACAAACAAAGCTGTGCGGCTGAAGCAATATGAAAACAAGCTGAACAAAGTAAAGGAAGGTGGAGGCTCATAGCCCGGAGACATGGTATGGATCGAATCATGGCAAGTGACAGGAAATCAAATTAATCACGACCAAGAGTAGCTGTCCTCAGCTAAATGCACTTTCCACTGCAGTCCACTGTGACACAAAATGACGAGAGAAGGAGCCCAGTGCTGGTTGTTTGAGGTGGGATTCTGGGGTTTTGCAAACCCTCTCGGGGGTTTTGGGGTTAGCCAAGTAGCTTATGTCCAAATAACTCCACTATTTTCCAAAGCCGACGTAAACAAGCGTTTGTGCTGATGAAGTGGCAGGATGATGGTCCGCATAAGCAGCACCCTCCCTCGATAGACAATAATCCCACTGTGTATTTTGCGGTGGGCCAGGTCTTTCTGGTGATGAAAACACCAGAAGGACCACAGTTGATTCTGGAGTATCGTGGTCTTTTCAAGTTCTCTGTGAACATTTCCACATTGCAGCATCTGTTTGGAAATGAATTGAGCAGTTTGCAAAGAAAAAACAGGGGAAAAAAAGTCTTCTTTCCTCTGTTTCGTCTGTGACCTTCGGTATTTGTTTAAAAAAAAAAAAAAAACACTTCTAGCTTGTTTGCTTGTCACACTGTCAGCGTTTCTTGACCTCTGGTTCTATTGAGACTCATCAGGTCGGGCTGTCGAGCAGAGTTCTGGTCCGTGCTGAACCCGAGGGGCTTTCAGGTGGCCACAGAGGTGACAATCTGGACAACCTCGCCATTGTCTCCGTGGATGGCACCCTGGATGGCCTCTTTCACCTCCATGTCAGCTTGCAGGGCTGGGGCCAGTTCAGCAGCCTGAGACACATGAAAGAGTGCAGAAGGAAGAGGTGATGAACGGGACGACAGAGAAATCCTACCTGTGAAACGTTTGCTAATTTTGTGGCATCCTGCTCGAGCTCACCGGTAGGGATCGAGTTTTAAACTGTTACTCGTACCAAATTAGTCAGAACAATCGTACAGATAAGCTCCAGGAGCATCGAATTTGTGTCAAACCCTCCACTGAACATGATCAAGATGGCGCCAACGGGTGCAGCGAATCATCTGTAACGTCAATTCGGGTTGTAATTTGCTGTCACTCTATTTCTGCATATATGTTGTCAAGATGTCTCCACTTTACGTTTGTGACTGACAAGCACTTATTAACAGTCAAGCTTCTGCTGGGACTTTGACAGAGCAATGAAAATACTGAAAACAGGACTGAGATTAGAGTGGGAACCTGTCCAGATGGAACCCTGCCTTCACCCTAAATCAGCTGGGATATGATCCAGCCTCCCACGACCACACAGAGGATGAAGCAGTGTAAAGATAATGGATGGATGGACTAAGATTAGTATGTTTGGTCAACGAGATCTTTCGGATGACCATAACAGCACTCTTTGACTGTAAACACTTAAAACATTGGAGTGATCTTCAACAGCTTCTTTAAACTTGATAGATCAGCTCAAGGGTCAAAACTTTTTCTTTTTTTTCCCCCAATTAGGACTCTCTCCAAAAAGGGAATAACTTTAAGAGTCATTCATGCCTTTGTTAGACCACTGTAATTGTTTGTACACTGGTGTGGAGCAGCACCTCTTTAGCAGCTGCAGCTGGTATGAAGTGCAGCTGCTCATCTTCAAACAGGAAAACGAAAGCGTGACAACACAACACCAGGACTGGCCTTCCCCCACCGGTTTCCTGTCTGTTTCAGGAATTACTTTAAGATTTAAGGTTTTAAACGGCTTGGCACACCACCTTGTTTGGCAGAACTCCTGCATTATCTTACCCTGATTAGAGCGCTCAGGTCAACCAACCAGATGCTCCTGGATGGTCTGAAATCCAGGCACACTACAGACTGAAATCACTGAAGAAGAGACACCTCTTCTCGGTGGGATTTGATCAATTAGAGCTCGACACTCTGACTTCATCTGTTGTTGTGCGCTAACTTTTTAATCTCATTGTTTTATTGTCTCCTTTTATTGACATTTGTCTTTTCATCATGCTGTTTTATTGTGTTCTATGACCTGCTATTTCAATCACTTCGATTCAGCTGTTGTTTTTAATTGTGCTTTAGAAATAAATGTGACTTTGTGACTGTAGCATTGCTGGATGACTTAAAAAGCCACGAGAACAAGCTTAAAGAACCCTACAGCTACAGTGCTGCGTGAACAGCTGTGTGTGATGACAAAAAAAAAACTGGAAAACTAATGGAACAAGATGCCATATATTTGCAGTGTTTTGATCAGAATTTTCTGGATAAAGTGGCTTGTTTTTCCAGCGGCTCTGCAACCAGACCACTCCCCCCAGATTGAACTGTTGATATAACCGGTCGGCTCAACTCGAGGTAACACTTGCTATCAGATTCAACAGTTACTAACTCTCCACCAGCTAAAGTTGCAACGCTATTAACTTCAGCACGCATGACTTTGGTGGTCCCATCATTCCTCTGTTGTCAACATTCAGGAACTCCCTGCTGGTGTGTCATGTGTTGCTTGTTTTGAAGCATCTAAACTAACTGTGTTCCAACATCGCCTCGCTGGTTTTCACACACGAGCCTCTGTCTGGGCCAGAGGTTGTTTTTTTTCCTCTACCAACTGTGTGCAAGCGAGACAGTCAGATATTTCATTAGCTTGCACACACACTGAATAAATCAACAATCATAAACCAACCTTCAAGTTCCCTCTCCCACCCAGCGAACAATAATTAACAGGAAACGGCAATTACTATAAAAGAAATGGATAAAGGGCATCGTGAGCACTGGGAAGTTCAGTTGTAAAGTTTAATCTTATTAAAATATGGGGGACAACAGTACTGAGAGGGATACCAAGAGATATGGGTATTGATAAAAATCCTAAAGGTGCCCATCCCTATTAATCAGTCATTATGAAAATGCTGCAACAAAGGTGAATAAAGGTGTTTCCTGTGAACTAATCAATAGAGCTAAGCCATAGTTCAGCCCCCTGCCCCAAAGTCAGTGTGGGAGACAACCGTAGTGAATGGACCAAAGACGGAGGGAGCAGAGGAATGACGAGCCAGATTAGAGAAGAGATATATCAGAGAAGAAAGAGTAAGACAGTTGGTGAAAGGAATTAGAAAAGAAGCAGAGTGACAGGTGGAGAGAGACTTGACAAGAGATGAGCCATTTGTATTTTAATGCTCTCTGACTGTCTCTATGGTCCATGTCAGACAGAGCGAGGTATTGTGTGGGTAAAAACCCCTTAAAAGATGAGAGGTTCATGACTCAGTCCTGGATGATGACCATGAAGAGTGACTCACTCCTTCCTCGAACGCACGCCAAAGGTTCCCTCAAACCCACCTGCAGCATTTAATCCTCCCTTCAGCCCAGCATGCTGTCACTAGACAACAGCGTTGACTGGAGCACAGCTGCACCATGGCAGTACACACAATGCAAAAACACATGAGCCTGACACGCTGTAAGCCCTGGCGGCAGACAGGCCAAGTAAAACTTGTACGAATCAATGTTTTTCCACTAAGAATTAAAACACTGAACAAGTTCAAATGTCACAGCAGGGACTAAAGCTCTTCACTTGTATGCACACAGTTAGATAATCGATCAAATTGTTTTAAATTGTATGCATCAGTAACTTCTGTTTCTTACCATGTTTTAAACAGTTTTTTGTAAGAAGTGTGCTTAAACCGGCTGTTGGTGGTCTGCAGCTCTGATTTTACAGTCAAACTGGAGATAAACTATGTTGTGTCAGAAATTAGCCAGAGATTAACACCAACTTGCAGAAACGCTGCTTGGAATGCAAAAATGTCATTTTGTGTTTCCCCCTGCTTCAGCTGTGTAATGGAAACTATTAAATAAAAAGACAGGAATATGCAGAGATAAATAAATACAAAAGCCTATGTAATTTTTCACTAAGTTGTATAAATGCTACCATATGTCTGGAAACAGATGAGAGCCAGTCTCTAGATTCAACACTTTTCAGCACGGGGGGAAAAGAACAGAGCTAACCCTTTCCTGAACTTTGAACTGAAAGTCAGCAGTGTTTACACTCTGGGACATCAAAACCCCACTGTGACAATAACCCACTCTGTACCAGGCAAGCAAACCCAATGTCTTTGTAATTGGTCAGTGCTGTGCTCTGTCTTTAGCTCCCTGTGTTTGGCTTCTTTGTAAGTTCCTTAAGGTAAGCTTGTAAAAAAAATAACAACCTGAGCATACTAAATGTGTTCTAGAACATTTTTTACATTATTTTGGGACTGATTTCTCCAAGTGTAGCACTGTGTGGTCCGTAGATACTGCATTGTCAACAGTCAGTTCTATTCTGTCCTCCAGCATGTCCAAATGCCCTTGTTGAACCCCAGTGCCATTGAACAGCACACTGATGACTGATCAGACCGGTGTCTACTTTGTTGATTTCTGTCAAGATCTGTGCACAATCAAACATTAGGAAAAAATGAGGTCTTTTTAGACCTAAAATCCACTCAAACAAATCAGTTGAGTAAACAAATAGTTTGATTGCTCACTGCGCCAAGCAACATGGAGCACAGATCTTGGAATACAGTACACAGGGTGGCAATCATTGTGTATGCTCATGAATACACAAATAAATAGTTTTCCAGGGTCATCAGCTTGTGTATGATCCACACCCAAAAAATGTGGTCAATATAAGATGCTTTAACTATCTCCACACTCACAGGGGAAAGGAACCAATTACCTAGACAACTATGGACAACAAAAGGACAACAAGACAGGATCTCACTGCGAGGGCAAAGTCTTAACTAGAAAATTCCAAAACCTGCTGTGTGGCTGGTCAGCACATTTGCTCTCTGCATGTCTTAAAGGGAGGTGAATATGATCAGCCACACTAAAAAGGCTGCACGAAGATCCATATCAGGATCGTAATGGCATTTACGCAGCCGTAAATCAACTTAAGTTATCCCTGTTTACATTATAACAACAGAACAAAGACTTGACTCACGTCAGAATTAGAGGGTACCTATTTTAGCACAGCACTTCAGGGGAAGAGGCAGTAAGGAGAAAATGTGACATTCAACATATTTGGATAAAACAAAACCAGGCAGAACAATGGAAAAGTGCTGTTCTTTTGTATTCCTCGCAGAGTTAAAATGACCACTTCAAAAGCCACTGTGCCGTGTGCCTGCACACCATCCTGATTCCACATGTGGCTGTTGCTCAAACAAGCTCAATCATCAAGGGATTTTAGGCATATCTACTAATTACTACTCTTCTGCTTGTAGCGCTCCATCCACTCCACTTCATTATGTTTAATTACTGTTTGTCCAAACACCTACCATAATGATTGAAAGCTACGAGTGCTTTATTTAAGCAATAGTATGACAAAAGGGGAAAGCAGACTCACTGTACCTGTAAGTAGTTTGGCTAAATAGCTTAAATTACATTCTATTTCAGCATTACAGTAATTACGACTGAAGTATTACAGGATATACACCGACCTGCCACAACATTAAAACCACCTGTCGAATATCATGTAGGTCCCCCCACATGTTGCAAAAACAGCCCTAACCCATCGAGGCCTGAGCTCCACCGTACAGCTGAAGGTGTCCTGTGGTATCAGGCACCAAGACGTTAGCAGCAGGTTCTCTAACCCCTGTAAGCTGTGAGGTGCAGCCTTGGGACTTGTTTTTATCCAGCAGATCCAATAGATGCTTGATCAGGTTTAGATGTCTGGTATTTGGAGGCCAAATCAACTCTTTCTCATTCCTGAGCTTTTTTTTTTTTTTTTTTTACTGTAGCAGAGCGCTAATCATACTGAAAGAGATGACCGCTGTCAGGGATTGTAGGTGGTCTGCAACAATGTTTAGGTAGGTGGTACATGTCAAATTAGCACCCACGTGAATGCCAGGACCCAAGGTTTCCAAGCAGAACATTACCCAGAGCATCATGCAGCCTCTGCCAGCTTGCTTTGTTCCCACAGTGCATCCTGATGCATTCTCTTTCTTCGGTAATGACATATAAGCACGTGTCCCCCACATGATGTAAAAGAAAGCTTGATTCATCAGAGCAGGACACTTTATTCAATTGTTGCATAGTCCAGTTGTGACGCTCACCTGCCCATTGAGGCATGTTAAGTGTCTATAGCAGCTCCAATATGTAACAAGCCTTGATGTCCTAACACGCTTCTGTCATAGCCAGCATCAAGGTTTTCTGCAGTTCACACCACAATAGTTCTTCCAGGGATTGGACCACAGAGGCCAGCTTTTGCTCCCATGCACATCAATAAGCCTTAGACACTCATGATGACCCTGTCACTGGTTTACCTTCTATCCACTTTTTGAACAATGGAACAATGGGATGCTCTGACCAAGTCGTATAGTCATTACAATTTGGCCCTTGTTGAAGTGACTCAGATCCTCACTCTTGTCCATTTTTCCGGCTTCCAACACATCGACTTCAAGAGCCTTTTGTTCACTTGATACTGAATAAATCCCACACCTTGATCAGTGGCATTGCAACGAGAAAGTCACTGTTATTCAATGTCAGTGGTTCTAACGTTGTGGCTGATCTGTGTTTACTGCCTCAGTATGAAACTAATCAAAACTTTATGGTATAAAATAAACGGCAACCAGAAACTTTGGCTACTGATCAGCACCTAATTTCTAAGAATTAAAAAAAAAAAGAAAGAAAGAAAAGGAAACAATAAAAAATACACATAAAAAAGGAATGCATTTGTAAAGCTGCAGTTAGTGAAATACAGAAATGATGAGTTCTGTTTTAATTTTTAGGTGTTGTAGCTGAATTCCTCAGTATGAAGACCATTAGCTATTGGCCATTCCTTTTAAGTGCATGTGTTTTTTTTAACTCTGGAGAAAATACTTTTTCCCTCAGGTAACATTTTTCAGATTACAAAAACAGTATCTTGAGGTGCTTGACACAAGCAAAACAAATTACTGCACCGACTGAATGGCTGTATAGTGTTGAAAAATAGGCAGACAGGTAATGTGAGGTGACTAGTTGTTCAAGCATGTTCACCTGGATGGGGATGTTATTCTTCTTAAGTCATCAGTACAAAAAAAAAAAAAAGACCAACTGTGATAGAAATGCTACAGTCAATTAAAAAGACTAAAGGTGGAAGGCTGTGCGTGTCCTTTCAGGTCTGAGGCACATTGTAGGAGTTTCAACAATCAAATCCTATATGGATTTTGCTTGTACTTGTTTGTTTGGAATCAAAAAGTGCCTTGTAATTGTTTGCAAATGAAATTTTGTGGCTGTGACAGGCATCACCAGAAAAACCTGATGAGAACAGCGTAATTAGTCCCATTTGACATGTCAGATTAAAAAACGATAACGGAGAACAAAGCTAATTTATAAGTAATGGGTTATAATATAACTACAACTAATTATCCAGGCTATTCCCATATTTGAAAATAAAAGAAGTTACTTTAAAGAAGTAACCTTTAAAGCCAAAATTAACTTCAGGAAAAGATATAAAAAGAGTATACTGCACAAATTAATGGCTGATTGCTAATGGACTGGCACAAAACAAGCTCATGAAGTGGGACTAATATACATTACTACTGAGGGTCTGTTTCATCTTAAGCACTTGGAAAGCTACCCAGTTACAATCTGTTTGCATGTGTACAAGAGCCTGGAAGAGTTTGTGTTGTTAGGTCGTTTTACCTGCACCGCAGTTGTGTGATCCGCGACGGGAGCTAGTTGGACGTACTGCACTTGGATGTCAGGGGGGAGAGTGGAGCCCTCCACCGCCGTCGCTCCCCCATCAGCTGACGCAACAGCTATCAACTGGGCCCCACGCAGCACCTAGGACAGACATGGAGGGACAGAACAGCAGAATGTGGTCAAGCATAACTGACGTTTTCCATCCACTGTCAGCATTATCATCAGCCAGTAACACATCTGAACGAGAGACCCTCAATAAGCTTCATGTGACCCACTTGGAAAATCAACAATCTGACAAACTCCACGGGGATTTACGGCACACACAAAGGGAAACATGGACCAAATAAAAACCACCAGCAAAATACCTCATTTATGTCTTATCTGATGTGTTTATGTTCTCTTATTTATTACAGCCATCATTGAGTACAAGCATGATGACAAACAAACACACCGAGTAGCTCTGCGGCAAGGAAAGAGTCTTGCGGTGGTATCTGAGTGGTATAAATAAACATTTCATCCCCACTGTTCTCACTCCTCCACATCCCACCCTTTGTTTATACGTGGAGTAGGAGAGAAACTTTATGGCCCATTCAATTCAATTAAGTTCGGCTTTCCTGGGCTCCATAACATGATATGCTCGTTAGTATTCGTTTTTTTATTTGGGTTCATTTCAATTTAGTCATATTTAGACAAAGAAATAAAGGGAATTGGCAGAGAATAGTTAGCGAGACATCGCAGGGGGATCCTTCTCTCCCACAGTGTTGAAAGTCAGCCAGGCAGCATTAGAGCACTGTGGTTTTGCCGCACTAATTACAGAGCAGGACAGAGCAGCTGGAGTGTTGTTGAATATTCCTATAGTTTGTTGAGACTATTCCTATAGATAGACTGCAACCACAAACACAAAGAATCGCGTGTGCGTGTACACACTCGCACATGGCCTCACACGCGCACACACGCCCACACTCTCGGATTAGCAGAGCCCTGCTGTTAATTTGGATAGTATAACTCCTATGTGACAACAGACATACCAATTAACGTACAATCATCCTGTCAACACAAGCACACAGTAAGACAGATGGAGGGAAATATTCACTCAGCCTTGTTGCTTGTCCTTGTTAGCTTCAGACAGAGGTCACAGACCACTACCACGACAGCTCTCCAGTGTGGCCAAAAGCTTTCCAACAATTCATACTCAGAAGGGGGGGAACTATTTGTTTGAAGTAAGGCATCCCTACATGAGCTGACAGCATGCTTCTATTTCCTACTCTTTCCCAGTTTCGTGGCCTTGGACTGAACACAGGTCTTTTCTAGTGTCTCCTGTCTGGCAGGTTTCACATGTATGTTGTCATGTGAGTTCTCTGTCTGCAGCACAGTCTTCTTCCAGCTGCTCCTGGTGCTGTGGCTGGAAAGGACATGCTTAACAGACAGCAAAAACTGAAGGGCGAATATGCAAGCCTGCAGAAAAACCCAAACCTCACAAACCTCAACTGCAGATGATGTTTGTTGCCCCCTAACCCTTCCAATCCGGGAGTCCCACGCTGCCTCTCTACCCCCGTTACGATCCACAGCTTTGAAGTTTTTAGTCGGTGACTAGCCCCAAAGGTCAAGTTAACCCCCCTCCAGTTAACTCGCCAGGAAGACACTTTGCCGATTTCACCACAAAATCTGCTGCTTCATCACAATAATGTGCCAGGCCCAATTAGCCTTATGGAAGCAATTAGGCTGAGAAGTCGGCCTGACTCACCCGATCAGACAAGCAAGACACTTCAAAACAGACCGTAATAAAGTACAAGACTGTCAGAACTGGGTCAAATGAATCACAGCGTTTGATGACCCATAAAACATTCCTGATCACTTAGAGCATTCGCCTGCAGGCTTGTTGTAAACAGCAATCAGACAGTCGAGGCAATTGATCAACATGTTGACAAAAATGCTTATTTGCTTTCTTGCAAAGAGTTAGAAGCGAATATCAGGCCAGCGACCAGCGAGCTGAGTATTTAGACAGAAATAGCTGAGCAGAGTCAGCAGCACTTATGGTCTTTATTGCTAAGCTTAAAGCTCAGCCTGCTGTCTCTTTGCTCCGGCTGTGCAGACTGTAGTAACACTGGTCTTTCTCAGCAAAAAGGTGAATCAGTACATTTCCTAGAATATCAAACTTGCTTTTTTAAGGAAGGATACATTCGTGAAACAGACATCATCCCTTTGAGAATAAATCCATGTAAACAACGCTCAGTCTGACAGCTCATTGAGAACGTGAGAAGAACCAAATGTACAACCAGCTGCTCATGTGTGTCTTTATTGCAGACATCCAAAGAGATCCCTATCTTTACTCTGTCACACTGTTTTATTAGGAATCAATCATGGCTCCTGCGTCGTGCTTTTTTTCCCATCTGCAATCATATTGTGCGTTCCTACGTGTATGTGCGTAAACATCAAGCATGATGTGTCGGTACTGCCGACTGGTGCGTTTAAGTGTACAATTACCGGGGTTTTAAGGGATGCTATGGTCGACATTTGAGATTGTAAACACTTGTCTCACTCAATTAGAGTCTCAACCTCCATTTGAGAGCAGTTTGCATTCTCAGCTGTGAGGAGCAGCACACAGAGGCTCACAAAAGCATTTACAGAGTTGGAACAGCGTGTGAGATCTCTGCTGCGATTACACAGGAACTTCTCGGGTCCACATCCTGTCCCACGACTTCTCTTTGTCAGAACAACTCGCCTCCACTATTTGGGTGTAATACTTGTCAGGCTTGGCTTTACAGTATGAGTCAGTTGAAAACAACCCGAAACTAAATGTGGATGCAAACCCACTTCACAAGACATGATAATGGAGTGCGGTGGTATAATATTGCGGTCTAATATTTTTCCATACTAGCAAAAAAATAAATAAATATTGATTTGCTGTCTATAATTACCTCAAGGTTGGAAGTTCATATAAAGAATCATTGAACACTATTAAGCAATTGTGTGAGTACTAATGATAATTACCTCTCATTTAGCTAACAGGACACAATCATCATTAGGCTGATTGGCAATGATGCAAAAACAAAACTAATTACAATATTGTATCAACAAAAAGTTTGAAAAGGTAAAAAAAAAAAAAGATGATTGTGCTCGTAGATTGGGTTGAATCAAACAAATGGATTGCTAGCAGAAACAAATGCATTATGCAGCAAAGTGGGAAATGTTTTGAGGGGGCTTTCTTGAAGCACACAAAGTTCCTGACACTGGGAAACTTTACAGTCTCGCCTTGATTGCATAACAGCATGAGTTTTCAACTAAGATCTGGAATGAGTCACTCAAAATGTTGCCAAATATATTAGATTTGATGTCGTGGGCTCAATTTGTCAGAAACAGGGTCCACTGGCGGATCTTAAGTGCATTAGTTACTGTTGACCTCGAGGTTTTAGGGATTGGGACCCTTAAATAATCAGAGCTGTCTGGCTGGCCACCCCCATGCTCAACGAGCCCAAAGAGCAGAGCACACACACAAGATTAAAGGGTTACGATACCCCACCACAGCGCTGGAGAGAAGAGCTCCGAACAATCAAGAGCATCTTAAATTCTGTGCAACCTCTGTTAGCTGCCATGGCCTTGAGAGAAAAGGAAAAGAAAAAATAAATCTTTTACTGATGCTGTAATGCTTTCAGTAACAGATCCAAGACACTAAAGAAATACAGCAATGGGAGAGGAAAGACACAAAAATTAACAACAACAGCAGCTTAATGCAAAAAACATTCATGATCCCAAGACCGAAGAAAAAAACAAGCGACCGGATGAAGACAGCTTTTGAGCCGGTCTTCATCTTTGCTCGTCTGAGAATTTCAAAATGTACTTTTGCTCTTTCACTTCATATGGTGCTAGTAAACTTGAATAACGAGGTATTTAAGAAAGTACAGCATGTTCAGAAATAAAACAATGCCTCTGAATTCCCATCTCTGTCCTCAGACACAGGCTCATTGTAACACAATAGTCAGAAAAATAAGGTTCCATAACACACAAACTTGTGTAAGCTGGCATCAATTCCCAGGCTTTCAGGAGGTCCCAGTTAAACTCAGCTGTGCATCAGATGATGTGATGAGTCACCCACTCAGTATACATATGTGTGTTTGTGTCTGAGTAGGTTTTTAAAGATTTTGCTTTATTTGCTAAAAGTACGCACGATTCCAGCAGAGCACCAGAACCTCGATTTATAAGAAACAAAAATCGATATACACCCTTTCTGTTTTGTAACAAAAAGAGACCCACACAAATCTGGTTTTTATCATTCCCAAAGGAATACCGCCTCCTCTTTCAGATCTGAAAAAAAAAAAGAAAAAAACTAAACCAAAACAGGGAAATGAGAAAAGAAACATTTGGACTTTGGAGTGCCTGGAACTTCCTCTCAGCTTAACAGCCGTCAACAACATCTGCAACTGCCAACCCTGGACAGATGTCCAAGCAGAAACACTAGCTCCGGGTGGGTAGGTGGGGTCAAAGTGGAGGAGTGGGGTTGACTAAGGCCTGTCTGCAACTTGGCTGTGAAGATGCCCATAGGCAAAGCAGTGCTCCAAGTGATTGTTTTTGGACGGGGAAAATGAACACACTGGCCTAAATATGTCTCACTGCAGTCATTAACTCTTTTAGTTACATATGCCTTTTATTTTACCTTTGAGTCTGAGGGTTATTCTGATGTTCAGCTGTGCCTCAGCTCATAATATGACTGAATAGAAAACAGCGAGCTTATGAAACAAATCAAACCAACTCGTGGTTTTAAGCCGCTGCCAACCAGTCAGGTTGCAGTTTACATTCATGTCTGTCCAGACTCAAAGGGATTTAATAAAAGGTATTAAGTGTATTTTTCGGCTGAAATGAAAATGATTACTATGCTGGCGTGTACAATTGCAGTGAATCATACATGTTAAAATATGTGCAAGAGCATGAAAATAAGTGCACAGAGGCATAAAAATGTCAGAAGTTAAAATAGGAGCCAGAGAACCATGGTTTGTTGCTCCACTATGTGTGAATTCTTTCACTTATTGGGAGATAAATGTTTAAACTTCTGACAAGCATCATCGCTATACATCACAGATACATCCATTTCCTATTTACACGCCATTCTTTGAAATACATAGTTGTTCTTAATTACCTTGTGACCT